AGCAGAGAGAGAGAGAGAGAGAGAGAGCAAAAAAAGGCAAGATGAACTTCCTAAAAACATGATAAGTGAACCTCCATTTCTTTTTTTGAGAACCCAGAACTACCTAAAGTCAGTCTCTTGTAGCACTTCATGTTACCGATCAAGTGCTATATAGTAAACTAAAACTTCCAGTTTCTGGAGAACTTCTAGCTATCAAACATGTCGTCAAGGTCCCATAGAGCTAGGAAATCTGCTCAGCATGACCTGCTAAACCTCTTGAAAATTTTGCATAATGTTACCATATCTCTGGGGACTACTCAACTCTCTATGGCTCACTATTTACGTTCAAGAGCCCCCTTGAAGAGAAGAAGAAAACCTTTAGGCTTTAGGCCCAGTTGGCGAGCTCTAGCCGGTGTTCCAGGACGTGGAGTTAGTGGCCAACCTGACATTGCTATAACCAAGTTGACTTCCTAAGTTAGATAATCAACTCAGGGAGAGTGATTGTTCCAAGTCTTATATGAAGAACTTACAACAGGGGTTGTAGATAAGAATGTTTATTTTTGATACATGAAGTTCATAGTTGCCCTAGGTCTAGCCTCCAAATGTGGGATCAGATGCTTGAGAGCGTTTTGCAAAGTTTGAGAAAATTCTTTTGGGTTTGAATGTGGTCAATGACTTGCCACTAACATTGAACACTAAGGATGTGACCTTGTACAATGATAAATGATCTAATCATATATTTTCTCTTAGAAAAGAAGCTTTAATGTGGATTCGAACCTGACTTGTCACTAAGTCATAGTAGAGTCATACCAGGACACCATATATATGTCAAAATAAGATCATAATTTCATATAGCAAAAACTTGGATATATCCGATGTTATTTTCTTTTATAAAACTCTCTCTATAAATGAGTCGAATTGATTCTGATGTGTTTCCTGATTCAAAAACTAGGTCCCTTATTGGCTCTATTATTTATGTCAAGCATAGTTACCAACAAGCCTGAAGGTCATGAGAACCCTATCAAGGAATGCTCTGAATAGGTTGCATAGGAGCTGTCTTTCTATT